CAGATTTTTATTAGCTTCAATCTGATCAAAGTTTGGCACCCAGTTCATAGAGTGCTTATATTGATTTCTTGACATCTTGTTTTCTGTAAAGATTTTATTGGTAGGTTTGCAAATGTGTATCAGACTGTGCATTCTCTCCATGAGTTGGTTTTGAAACCCAGTATGGGATTCTGAGATACATTACCAAGGATATTATTAGAAGATAAATCATTTGCTTCATTGAACACATACAACAATGCATATTTCCACTGAAATCAGTGACCTTTGATGTGTATCACCAGTGATCAGTCAAGTAGAAACAATTTTTGCATGATATTTTCATACAGGACATCTGTTGTTCAAACTCAGGGAAGACTTTATACTGATGAATAAGGTGACCACGTTTGGTGAAGTTTGGAATAGAATTAGTAAAGTTATTATGCACACAATAACAATTATTGACGATGACGACGACAACAATGACAACGCCGGACAAAATTTTCCCCTTAATATACCTTTCCCTTCCATCTTTGATGGTACGGGCAAGGTAAAGAGCAATAGTTTTCCTCAAGTTTAAACACAATAAAGGTGATGTTGTATTTATCATTATAGAAAAAAAATTAATCGTTAAAATTATCAGTCAAACGGGTGATCACAATATTTGTTTGTTATCTATTAAACCTACTTCTGTTGTTAACAGTTGGGGTCCAGACATTAATGTATAAGCAGTCTTCACTCCCTTCAGCCTCATAAGTCAGCATGTTTCTCTGCATGCACATGGAACCAAACTGATCAGTTTTTCGGTAGTCAGTCCAATAGTCGTCTTCAGTCAAGCTGCTTGTCGGCTTCCACCTTAAATTACCTATAGGTGGCTTTGCATATGGAATACCTGATAATGTACAATTGAATTAATTTGATGATATTCTGATATATAGGAGAGCTATATAGCCATTAATTGCATTTCAAGTCTACAATGAATAACATGACATAAGTATTGGTCACAGTACAGTGTATACCTATAAGGTCTGCCCAAATTTTTTGTTTGTTTAATAATCGTGATTAAACTTTGGTTATCTTGCACACGGTCAAAAAATGAAACATCATTTTTCAGATTGGCCTAAAGCACCATTTTTTTTTCTTTGGAATACATATTTACAAATATTACATATTTGTATTCAGAACTCTTTTTTTATTTTTATTATTTTTTTATTTGGTGTTTTTCAGTACTTATATGTAGCAAATCTTGATGAATACATGGTTTAAGCATCATTGGATGGTGTCTCAAATTGTCTTGTTTTAATTCATAGATACATCTGATTTAAATCAAAATAGATTAAATCATATGGTATATCCATAAATTTTTAAAAACCTAATAATAAATGTTCTGCTGTTCTTTGTATTTCAACTAGTTTTGAGGATCTGGAGAGAAAAATTGAAAGATATTTTATCTTTTGATAACCATGATGTCAACTATTGCTTTAAAATCCTCATGCAGTTGAACTTTCTTTTCATTTTTGTTGCTGTTCTTCCTATTTCAATATCTCCTAATCTGGCTGTGATCTTTTCATTTGCAATGCCGTCTTTGGAAGTACCATAGAGAATTTTGTTAATTTGGTCTTTTTGTCCATATAATGATTATTGGATAGTGGCGATTGCATAATGTGGTGCTTGTTCATACTACAGGGCACAGTGTATTAACCCAGTGTGTCATCCATTTTCACTAAAATGTTCAAATCAGTGAAAATCATGAAATTTGTTGTCATTAAAATTTCCCTGTGGTCCTATAACATGGACTTTTGCATAATTCTATTCAAATGTCCTAGAATCTTCAAAGCAAGAACATTGCTGGGAGTGAAAATAAATAACGTCTTGCAGTATACAGAGTTTACAGAATAATAGGAAACAAAAATGAAAAGCTTCATAATAGAATCAATTTCTATAAATTGTTTCTATGCATGAATGGGTGGCGTAAAAACCTTTCAACACACCATAATACCATAATATTGTTTTGATCTGAAGACGTTCATTCAATAAAGATTAGGATTGTAGATGACACTAGACTGAGGGCATGGTAGTTTATAGAAATGGGATAATGGAAGCGAAAAAAAAAAACATGATAAAACCATGATACAATACCGGTATTAGCCAAAATACAAGCAGACAAATTCTACACACGAACAATACATACTGTAAATGCATTAATTATTCACTGGGTTTTAATTTCACTATTTTCGCTGATAAGTAAAATCCGCTAAATTTAACCTACGTGAACATGTAAAATAACAATAAAACTCATCCATAAAAGTAAAACACAGTGAATATCCTCAAAACATCAAAATAGTGAAATTAAATGTCAGTGAAAATAAATGATTTTACAGT